CTTTCCCTTTGGTGAAAACGCTTCTCCCTTCTAATCAAGTCAAACACGTATTTCTCTTTTCTATCTCTACCTTCTTTGGAAATCATTCCAATTTTGCTTCACTAAGGCTGGAAATACTATTTTATCAGCATTTCATTGCAGTTTTTCCTCTTTTTTTAATCTGTATAGGAAAATATTTAAATACATGTTTCATTCTAATAACCTAGCTGCAATGTCTTAAGCCTATTAACACTGCTAAACCACACAGCTTTGCTGATGCTATGTGGCAAAAAAACCCAACCAAAACCAGTCATACTATTACTTTTGCTAATGGGAAATCAGGGTGTTACCGCTACATCAGAAATGTGATGATTCCTTCTAAAGATTATCTTCTCATACATAAAGTAAAATACAAAGCTTGGGCTTGTTAAACAATCTATATGAGAGAGAGAGACTGAAGGGGATTATTTGTCCACTTATAATCACCTAACCCTGATCCTGAGGTAGTCCACAGTTTCCAAATGGGCCTCAGAGCAAATGGGAAGACAGGCTAACAAAACTTCCTTAATCAGACCTTCAAAGGGAGCTAGGGCTTGATTCATAAATGGAACTTACCATCTATGCCTATAAATAAATAGGCCTTAACATCTATGCTGCTCTGGTTTTTTGCAGAATTCACCACTTCAGAAACTACCTGAGGTTCCTTGAACATTCACTAGCAGAGCAATGTGTGCCGAACTTCCAGCTCCCATCTCAGCATCCAGCTCCCACTGAAGCATCCTAACCACAGTGAGAAGGAATTCTGTTCACATATAAATGTGTGCTTCATCTGCTGCCATAGGTATTTATGTAATTTCAGAGCAGTGGAAAAAGTTCCAAAGTGAGGAACAGATACACGTACTCTTCCATACTCTAACTGGTGTGAAAATAGCATTTTTAATGGGAAACTGGGTCCAGCTGCCTGCTCCAGATCTGGTATGGAAAGGACCAAAGTGAAGCGAGGCCTTTCTGCCAAAGTATCTTAAATATGCATTTGATCTTTTTTTCTTAAAGATTTATATTCCAACACTTTAAAAAACCTGATAAGAAAGTACTCAAATTTGTATGTGCAAACATCTGTTTGCATATAAAGACTGCACTGGCGCATACACAAAACATGCAAGTGCCAATTTTCCAGGAATTAAACACAAAGTAAAACACTCCTCCCCATGCAGAGAAGTCTTCTACTTTCCAGAACATGTCTCACTGTACAACAGGATCTGATTGTATGATCAGTAATACTTTTCACCCCTCAATGGCCTAGGGTTCAGCTCTACAAGTATTTCCAGCACAACATTGCCTAGCTGTGATTCAGAAGTGGAATAGGATTGCTCTATCAGATGTTACACTCCATGGAAGGAGAATACAGAAAGGCTGTCAGAGCCCTGAAGTTGGAACAGTGTTTGTAAAGTGACTCTAAATGCCAGGGAGGCTAGAATATTTCATTCCTCTTCATTTCTTTCCTCTTTCTTCCTGAGAAATTTCCACTATGCAGCCCAAGTAGTCTCATCATTACCTGAGGCTATATCTATGTGCTGGGCCTAATTAGGTAAAAATACAGCACTGAATTCTTCCCAAGCCTGCAATTAAGACACCACATTAATCTTAGTCAATAACTTCATTCTGCTTGTTTTTCATCCTGGAATAAAGATAAAGTGATGGACAGGTAGTCCTGGAGTCTAATGCTCTATAATCCCACAGACTCTACTCTAAGGAAATGAGGAGGCACACTTCTCCTTGCTGTCCTGCCATGTCTCACCCCTGACTTGGGGCAATCAGCTCCAAGAGAGTGCTGATTAGCATCTATGCTCTTTGGTCTTCATCAGTTCTTACTACTAGGAGTTAGTAACCAATTACAAGGACAGCTAACCACTAGCAGCTGAATAGAAACTATCAGCTGTTTTGACAGAGATCTATAAAAGTGATTTACAAACCATGGCCACAAAATAGTGATATAAACCTCAGGGGCTCCATATCATCCTCATGTTCAGTCATCCATAACCTATGAACTACAAGCTAAAATTCAACCCTGATGGTGGAGAACAGACGTAAGTTTTAGCAGGGCTGAGTTTGGTATGGGTCTTGATTAACTTCTTACTGGTTTCTTTATTACGATAGAAGAATTCCACAAAGATATAAGCAGGGACTTTTTCCACATTGCAGATTTATCTCAGTTTTGTGCCGCTTGAGATCAGAGCTCTGTTGTTTGCTTGCTAGACCTTTTAATTAGTCATGGCTTTTGGAAAGCCTGAATCACACTGGTGATGAGGAAGAACTAGTCGAGCGAGGAAAGAAGGCTCAGCACCTTTACCTGCATGTGCTCCGACTCCTTCCCTCTCCCACTCTGGTGCACCCATGCAAGGGGATGTGAAGAGGAGCTCTGCCTACTTTAAACAGAGACGCAGTACTGCTGCAGTCCCAATGGATGACAGCTATTCTGAGGACTTTGATGAGCTCAGTGTTTAAGTGCTGCAGACCCAGGTGACAAAAGACTCAATTCTGAATGCCAGTCATGTACAGAAGTTAACTAGCAAGGGCACCAGCTGCAAAGTTTGACCACTGGTGAGTACAGTGACTCGGATCGGTTTGACCCTGCTCTCTTATTCACCCTTTATTAATTTTGTGGTGAAATTCAAAATAATATCATTCAGCCTTTGCACTGCAGTGTAGTAAAACTGACTTGTAGTTCTTTTCTAATTACTTCCACTTCCATATTACAGCAATGACAGCCTACTGCATTTAAAAAAAAAAGAAAAAGACACGAGGACTTACAGAGTTGTCTTTTACTAGAAGAGCACAGCACTGGATTCCTGCCAACAGCATTTTATGGGGATTCCAGGCGACAGAATCAGCCCTGCAAAATTTATAAACAGAGAAAGGGAGGTGGAAATTGCACCTATAATCGTAGGTACTAGAGAATCAAAAATGGCCAAACACAATCTAAGCAGACAAATCAGATTTCCCATTTTTTTTTCTCCACACACCCATAGGTTTAGAAATCTCTCCGATTAATAGTAATACGTATTTTGGAAAATGCAACTCTCATGGATACCAATAGGCCACACAACTGTCATATCAGTCCCTAGTAAATGTGCCCATGAACTAAACTGACTTACCTGTGGATGCCATGAAGAAGTCTGCAATGCTTCTTTGATATCAAAGCTGAGCCACCCCAAGAAGCCTGTTGGAACATTTATAGAGCCAAGACAATATTATTTGTATAAAGTTCTTTTGATAATACTTCAACTAATAATTTCTGCAGGTGTTTTTTCTCACTTAAAATTTAGTTTACTACATGGTCAGTGGGCTAAATGTTGCCTTAGTACCATGCACTGAAATAAAGATGGCAGCCTGGGGCCTAAAATAGAGGAGCTGATGGTTTGTGCCACTATGTGAGCCACAAACTACACTGTCCCTTCTGCATAAGCAAGAGCATGAACTGAAGTGTCCCTGCATAACCAGACCTATTCCTGATACTGAGTCAGAGGTTCTTCCTTTCCCCCAGCCTAAACCTAAGCAGTGGGAGCAGAAAGCCCCATTTTGCATATCTTCCTCCTGACAGCTGTTTCCTTTGCAAGACATTCACAAACCAAATTGAGGACAGAATGACAATCTCTGCCAATTGCAAAGTCCAGGCTCAGATTTTCCACAGAGTTTGGATATGAAAAGCGAAGTCAGTGAGTAGGCAAAAGCAGCATTTCTGTTACCAGCAATCCAACTGACATTAAAATGGAGTAAGACTCACCACATCTCCCTCAGGTCATCTAAGAACTAGGTGTGTGGTTGTCCTGGTTTCAGCTGGGATAGAGTTAATTTTCT